CCCGGCTATAGACAGAGAAATATCTTGTCAGTTTGTTAGTGTTTGAGCGCTCAATCAACTGCTTGCACTGTATGCTTCACGGGAAGCTGAGAATGTTTCGGAGTGTTCTATGGTCTGCTGGGGTAATAATATAGTGTAAAGAGCATAGAGCCTGCTGTTGAGCGGGGATATGCGCTATACAAATGCTGTCTATTATTATTTTCTATTATTATTATTAAGTAGCAGTAGAAAGGCTGCAGAAAGAGTCAGGGGCCCAGAGGAGGGGGCAAAGGAGGTGAAGGGTGGGTGTAGAAAATAGAGACGGAAGCAGACGACAGAACATTGCTAGAGAGCAGGATAGGAGGTGAAAGAAGACAATTTTAGAGGACAACATTTTTCCGTCCTTACCCGGATTCTTTTTTTGTGATAATGAGACTGACGCACTACCTACTGCGCTCCCGAGGCTCTTACCCGGATTCGAACCCGGGACCTTTGAATGAGAGGCGAACACCTTAACCTCTCGGCCACGAGAGCCCCCTTTCACAGGTTAGAAATATAGGAGAACGCAAGGGTGTCATGGAACAATGACTGTTAGTTCAGGTGACCGCTATGGCATATTCGGCTGTACTATCATGATCTAACACAGCGCTTGTCAACCTAAGTGGTATAGCCATCTAGTAGGCGTTTTATTAATTTTGGTGAGTGGTGGGGATCACCTGGAGGTGGAAACCGGTGTTATTTCATGACCCGCTTGGAAATATATAATATAGGAGGGAGTTATGAACATTTTATTGTTGCCTCTTAAAGTGGGCGCTAAAGTTGATTAGCATTTGATGTAATCTGAGTTTCATATCATCAACCTGGCAACATTCCAACGGCTCTCGGAACCGGCCAACATATTATTATCATTGTTATACCGTCGCCGTTATACAGCTCTGCAGAATGTCAAAATTTTGAAAAACATGAAAATCAGTGAGCTTATGTGTAGAATTTCATGGGGCGAATCTAATGGTCCTAGTCTCATTCCACTTCTTAAAGCAAAAAATAGAAGTAAACGAATGAAACATTTAGTATTAGTATCGACTTTTTAGCAAATTGAACTTGTTTTTTGTTGTTGCTAATCTTAAAAACCTAGTATTAATTCACAATGTGGAATGACGGAGACGGTATAAACATAACAAACGCCAAGACACATACTACGTACTTACGCATAAATTACGCACGAACACACATACTTAAGCACACGCGCACACACAATCTGATCAAATCCTGGAGCTGAAAAGGTTAAGCTTTTTTAAAGGTTATAACGAGATAGAGAGCTATCATCGCTTTATTATACTTTACTTAATGACATTTCTAACACTCTGTATTTAATCCAGTTGGACAACTGCTCTGAAAACGAACAAGTTGGAGCCAAATACAAAAATTATCCGTAAATACACAACATAGCGTAGAAAGAAAGACAAATTCTCCATCACTCCATATTCATTAATTGAGGAAAAATTATATATTCAATAATCATT